AGGGAGCCCGATGTGGGGCTCGATCCCAGGACCCTGGGATCATGACCTGAGCCGAAGGCAGACGCTTAACGACTGAGCCACCCAGGCGCCCCCACTTATTTCTGTAATGAATTGTGCCTTTGGTTTTGTATTGAAAAAGCATCATACCCAAAATTATCTAAGTTTTCTCCTATGTTATCTTCTAGGAATTTTACAGGTTTTTTTTTTCTGTGCATTTAGGTCTATCATGCACTTTGAGTTCATTTTTGTAAGGGAATAAAGGCTATGTCTAGATTCTTTTTTTTTTTTTTGTATGTAGATGTCCAGTTGTTCCAGCATATTTGTTGAAAATATTATTTGTGCTCCATTGCATTGCTTTTGTTACATTGTCAACGATCAGTTGAGTTTGTGGGTCTATTTCTGAGCTCACTATTCTGTTCCATTAATCTTTTTATCCTTTAGCCAGTAACACACTGTCTTCATCACTGTAGCTTTACAGTAATCTTGAAGTTGGGTAGTGTCAGTCTTCGACTCTGTTCTTCTTCTTCAATACTGAATTAGTTAGCTATTTTGGCTCTTTTGCCTGTGCATACAAACTTTAGAATCAGTTTGTCAATATCCACAAAATAATTTGCTGGGATTTTTAAGATTGTGTTGAATACATAGGCAAATTTGAGGAAAACTGACATTTAGACAATATTGAGTCTTCCTGTTCATGAACATGGTACATCCATTTATTTAGTTCTTCTTTGATATCTTTAATCAGAATTTTATAATTTTCCCTATATATATCTTGTACATGTTTTGTTAGATTGATGCCTAAGTAATTTATTTTGACGGTACTAATAATGTAAATGGTAATATTTTTAATATCCAATTCCATTTGTTCATTGCTGGTGTGATACAGTGATTTATAAGGAATGTTATATTGTTATATATTATATCATTTCTTAGATATATTGGTCTTCATCCATAATTCCTGAAAATGCTTCAGAGCTATAAAGGTAAAATGAGTGTCTTGTTATTAATGAAGGTGATTTTTCCTTTTCAAACCCACCCAAGGTTCAGAGGCAAGGTGCCAGGAGGAGCAATCATGTGATAAAGGATTAGAACTTTCAGTCCCTATTCCCAACACCCTACCTTCAGGGAAGGAGAGAAGCTGGAGGTTGCATCATCCAATGGCCCGTGACTTAGGCAATCATGACTTTGTAATAAAGCCTTCATACAGACCCAAGAGGACAGTCTTTTGGTCCTTTTGGAGAGGTTTCACACTTGGAGAACCAGGACGTTTCCATGTGCCACCAAGCCAGGCCCTAAGCTCCATGAGAACAGAAGGACCTCATTGAGTGATGTAAGAATTCTGGAGATGGATAGTCTTGACAGTTGCACTACAGTGTGAATGCACTTACTGCCACTGAATTGTACAATTAAAATGGTTAAAATGGTAAATTTTTCATTATGTATATTTTATCATAATAAAAAATATTATAATAATTACTCAAAGATGACTTTCTAAAACGTTAAGTGTTTTTCACTAATAAATTTTAATTTTTGAAAAAAACTTAGAGCAGTTTTAGGTTCATAGAAAATAGAGCAGAAATTACAGGGAGTTCCTGTATACTGCCTGCCTGTCCCCAGATGCACAGCCTCCCTATATTAGAGTGGTTCATTACCTAAATTGACACATCATTATCACCCAAAGTTCATAGAGTTCACTTTTGGTGTTGTACCTTCAGCATTTTGGAGTTCTGAGGTAGGAGGATCTCTTGGGGAAACATAAACAAAATATCCTGCTAACCCAGAAAACCTTTGCACACAAGTAGAAGGAAAGAAAACAAAACAGTTTTATTATTAATAAGCATTAAAACAGATGTGATGTGCATCACAGGCAATCCAATAAAGAGATTGTGAAGTCAGTAAGAAATCTCACTTTTTTATACAGTCAGGCAGATACAACCTATTAACATGTTCTTCTTCTTTTTTTAAAGATTGCAGTTATTCATTTGACAGAGAGACAGCAAGAGAGGGAACACAAGCAGGGGGAGTGGGAGAGGGAGAAGCAGGCTTCCCGATGAGCAGGGAGCCTGATATGGGACTCGATCCCAGGACCCTAGGACCATGACCTGAGCCAAAGGCAGACGCTTAACAACTGAGCCACCCAGGCGCCCCTACGTACATGTTCTTTTTCAAAATTTTATTTATTTTAAATAATTTTTAAAAGATTTTATTTATTTATTTGACAGAGAGAGACAGCGAGAGAGGGAACACAAGCAGGGAGAGTGGGAGAGGGAGAAGCAGGCTTCCCGCGGAGCAGGGAGCCCGATGTGGGGCTCAATCCCAGAACCCTTAATCATGACCTGAGCCGAAGGCAGACGCTTAACGACTGAGCCACCCAGGCGCCCCAAAGATTTTATTTATTTTCGAGAGAGAGAGTAGGTGAAGGACAGAGGGAGAGGGAGAGAGAATCTTGAGCAGACTCCTCTCTGAGCATGGAATGTGACAGGTGGCTCGATCTCATGACACTGAGATCATGACCTGAGCCAAAACCAAAGGTTGGACACTCAAATGACTGAGTCACCCAGGCACCTTTCACGTTCTATTTTATAATTGTATATACTGATCCCTTCTTTTTTAATATCAGTTCAGAAATCCTGCAGATTTAGAGGTGACTCCTTTTGTGAGAAACACTGTGACCTGGTCTACAGAAACCACAACAGTACAATGGAATGTTGTATCAGAATCACCTGGAAAATTGTTAAAACACAGATTCTAGGCCTTAACCACAGAATCTCTGTTTCACTAGGCTAGTTTCTTTCTTTTTTTTTTTTTAAAGATTTTATTTATTTATTTGACAGAGAGAGAGAGAGCGAGAGCAGGAACACAAGCAGCGGGAGCGGGAGAGGGAGAGCAAGCTTCCCGCCGAGGAGGGAACCCGATGTGGGACTCGATCCCAGGACCCTGGGATCATGACCTGAGCCGAAGGCAGACGCTTAATGACTGAGCCACCCAGGAGCCCCACTAGGCTAGTTTCTGAAATGAGAATGAGCATTTCTTTTTTTAAAAATTTTTTATTGTTATGTTAATCACCATACATTACATCATTCGTTTTAGATGTAGTGTTCCATGATTCATTGTTTGTGCATAACACCCAGTGCTCCATGCAGAACGTGCCCTCTTTAATACCCATCACCTGGCTAACCCATCCTCCCACCCCCCTCCCCTCTAGAACCCTCAGTTTGTTTTTCAGAGTCCATCGTCTCTCATGGTTCGTCTCCCCCTCTGATTTCCCCTCCTTCATTCTTCCCCTCCTGCTATCTTTTTCTTTTTTTTTTTCCTTAACATATATTGCATTATTTGTTTCAGAGGTACAGATCTGAGATTCAACAGTCTTGCACAATTCACAGCACTTACCAGAGGAGAATGAGCATTTCTAACAAATCACCAAGTGATAGGAATGGTAAAGGTCTAGGAATCAAACTTGAAAACCAGGATTCGATGAAAAACGAGGCTGCCTAGTTCCAGGCCTTGTAGTCCACCACAGTGAAAAATTGCAGACTCCTAGAGGCAGAGCCAAAGTTTCTCACATACATCCCCTGAGTGTCTCTGCAGTGAGCAAGTCAGGCTAATGGCCAACCTGGCTGGAGTCCTCAACTGCTGAGGAGCCCTGTGAAGGCTCCACCTACCAAAGCTATCTAGCTACCTGCACATTTTGCCTAGAACTTATTCCAAAAATACTCACATAGTTATCCCTCATATCCTTCAAGTTTTTGCTTAATGACCCTATTAGCAAAGAGGCCTCCCTCTTCTAAGCACATTCACCTTATGTTCTTCCATTGTGCCTAGCACATTCCAAGATGCTGTATGATTTAGCATTTCTTCTTTCATGATTTCTGTGACCTCCTTGTATATAATATAGCCCCCAGGAGGGCAGGAGTCTTTTGTCCCTTTGTGTCCAAATGTCTCCTATGCATCTACAATAAGTCTTAAAGCCAAACACTCATTGATTATTTGTTAGAACAGTGAATAAACAGGACACTTTAGCTTCCCTTTATATTTTTACAATTCTACCTGTTCCTAACGTCCCCGTTAGCTTTCCCTGAATGCTGGTATCACTCAATTTCAAGAATGAATAAGAATCAAATTTGGGAGACAAAGTCTTCAGAATGATTGTTTTAGTCACATGCTCAGCTTAACTATCTTTTCTCAGACACCACTGATACAATTTCTCTTAAAAAAAAAACAAACAAAAAAAACAATTTCTCTTAAGATATTCACATTTTTACCATCCACTGGTATTTCCACTAAGACATTTCTGACACAATCTCTGAATCATTATATAGCCATTATTAATAGCTGTGTAATTTGCATTTTACAGCTGTTTTTTCTCAGATAATGCCAATTCCTCATGCAGAATACTCCCTGTAATCACAGGGGAAATGATAACCACTTTCCAGTAATGAGATGAGGTCGTAGATTTAAGTTACCCTCAGCATTTTGGAAATTAGAGCACCCTTTTCATACATGCTAACACCTGTAAACACCGAACCCACTGTCCAGTATCAAAATAGCACGTCTCTCACAGTTATGTTGTTGAATTGATGTCAGATTTCCAAAAGGAAGTGACTATCAGGCAATCGGAGAAGATATTAAATAGATAAACGTGTTGCTGAGTTGAACACAGTAATTTACTATGCAGTCAAAGGAGATACTTTCTGTGGTCATTACAGAGCTCACCTTTGAATTCCTGCTTCAGTGTATCCAACATCCCTCTACAATATTTCCTGTCATGACCCAATCTGTTTATTCTCTCGTCCCTGATCAAACATAGAGCGACTGATAAAACCAACTCTAACACTTCATAGCGTATGGATTTGAAATGCAACGTGACGTGTTAGCTTCTGCTACCAGTGGACACATTTTGAGCCTGCATGACCACGATGATAAGTGTATTTGGGTCTGTGGCCTTTGGGAGCATCTGAAATATGTTTAGCCTCTGGGAGCAAGCTGAACTTCACGGAGTCCGAAATAACACGTCCCCACACGATTGGGTGAATAGCTACAGGCAACACACAACACTACCCCCAAAACTTGAGTTCTGCTTCTTTAAGAAGGGACAAAGACCCTTTTAATCTCTTGGACTTGTGGACACCATCTCCCAGCGCAGCTTGCGGGTCTAAAATTGTGGGTCGGCTGCCCAGCGCCCTTACCCGCCGCATCTGAATCCACGCGAACTACATTAACCTGTAGGCTCCGCGCCTAACGGCCGCCTCGCTGAGCCAATAAAGGTTCAGGACAGGGGCCTTCCGTGTGTGACGCCGAGCGCGGGGCGGGACTTCCGGCGTCCTCCTCCGGGCGGTCATTTTGGCTTCTCCCCTGTGTTCATCCGGGCAGAAGTTCCGGAGCGCAGGGTGTGCGCGAGGTGACTTGCAGGAGAAGGACTCAGAGGAGTCGTTGACCCAGCCATACAGAGGCGGGTCTGAAGCTAGGCGACGCCGCTCGGGGTGCCCCGCACCGGGGCCGGTGTAAGAACCTTCTGCCCGCTCCCGGCCCCGCTCCGCCCACAGGCCCGGATGGCGGCAGCCACGCTGAGGGACCCGGCTCAGGTAAATACTGCGTTTTCCGCCCCTCGCCGCCACCCAGATCCTGAAGCTCCGCTTGAGGGGCGCCTGCTCACGTGCTCACATCCCAGGTCTTACTGTCTAGGATAACGAGGCACTGGTAGGTGGGGTCCCGTTTCTGACAATGGCCCTGAATAAACCTGACATCTCAGCTTCCCTGTTTAATTTACCGACGTGATTCGGTGTGGGGGCGTGTTCAGTTTTACTGTTGCGAGTCGGTGTGGGGTAGTGTTACCGGCAGAGGAACCGACCTGTGCAAAGGCGTGGAGGTGCCACCGAGCTGGGAGTATTCGGGAGAGCTGGGGGCTGTTGTGCCTGCGGGGAACAGTGTTTGAGGCGGAGTCACACCTGGAATAGCAGGCCGAGGGTTTCGCCTGCATTCTCAGGACTCTGGAAGCTGTGGATAATTTTAAACAAAGGAGCGACACGAGTTACATTAGGGTTTTAAAAGCTTCCCAAAGGTGGTTGATTGGAAAAACAGACTGAAGGAGGGTCATGGAGACATGGAGGCATTAGGAGGTTGAATCTTCGAGGACCCAGAGCTAGTAAGATGAAACACTGAGGCATAAAAGGTAGACATCCAGTTATAAATTCATGGCTTACCGGCCAGGCATAGGTACACAGAGGAGTCTGAGCGCGTTGAAACCTACATTGTATTCATCTATAACCCGCCCGTTAAAACATGGCTACAGACACACTTACGGAACCTACGCAGGAATGTGTAGGGTGTCCTAGTCCCTCACTGGCTCCTACTCCCACTCATATATTCTCCGTTGTAGTGTCCCGGGACTCTACATGCCATTCTTCCAGACCTTGGGTCTAGGGACCCTGGAGAAACCCCTAGCCTTCGCCCTGGGTCCGTAGGAGGAAAAGGTTATCTCAATACAGGGGTGTAAAAATGTTTGGAGAGGTGAGCTGGGAGCATTAAGGAAACCATAGATTCCCTTTCCTTCAGGTGGGAGCAGTAAGATGGGATTCAGGACTGGAATGGCTGCCTGAGAAGTTGGTTATCTGTACTGGAGGTGGTGGGAACTTTGGATTAGAGGAGGGGGATGACCTTAGCCAGCTCTCAACAGGCTTCATCTGGCTGCACTGTAGAGAACAGATTGTGAGGATGAGGGAAGAGGAAGGTAAACTAGGGTGGAGTCCACTGTAGTGGGCCAGTTGAGGGTTCATGGGACAGAGTGGTGGCTTAGAAGTGGCTGGATTCTGGATCTGTTTTTATTAAGAGTCAACTAGATTTCCTAATGTGCAAGGGAAGTCATATGATTGGTCTGCTTGTATCGCTATTTAAGAAAATACCACAAACTCGGTGACTTATAAACCACAGAAATTTATTTCTCACAGTTCTGGAAGTGAGAAGTCCAAGATCAAGATGCCTGCATGGTCAGGTTCTGTGTCTAGTAAGCGCCTCCTTCCTAATTTCCACCCAAAGGCCCCAGCTCCTAATACCATCAGTTTGTTGGGGGGTAGAGTGTCAAAATATGAATTTTGGGGGGACATAAACATTTTTTCTAGAACAGTGAGAAAGTGAAGCACAGGATTCAGAGATGACCCTAAGGTTTTGATCTAAGCAGCAGGAAGGATGAAAATTTCAACTGATAAGGGGAAGTTCATCATAGAGTAATTTTAACTGGGGATATCAGGAACTTTCTGTTGGCTCTTTTAAGATCTGAGGTGTTTCAGAGACCACTGAGTGAAGGCACCAAGTAGGCAGCGGGACACGCGTCTCTGGAATTCTGGGGGGGAGTTCAGGATGGAGACATCCAACATATTGTGGCTACTGTATATGTCCGGGTAGGTGAGTTACATTTGGGAGGGGCAGTCTCTAGGTAATGATGGTAAAACCATTTCCAGACTAGGGAAGGAAAGGTGGCGGCTGGGAACTGGGCCTCTTGCTTGGATATCTGGTTGATGGCATTGAGTTTCACATACTTAATTAAGTTAGAGAAGTAAATGGCACGAAGGGAGAAAATGTCAAGGACAGGGTAGACTCAGAACTAATGAAGGGTACCAGTAGAAGAGTGGACATGAGATGGGTACAGAGGCATAGGAGTTGGCACATTAATACTCAGTCCTTGGAGCTAGTATTTATTCCATTCAAAGGACTTCGTGGATTTTGTGGCAACCTTGGTGGGGCCTGGGATATTTCATTCAGTCTGGAGGATAAGGTTAGAGGGGCAAATCCGTGAGAACCACTAGGACTCAGATGGGTGGCTAGTGGGGCTGGGCTTTGAATGAGGGTTAAGTCAAAAGAGGAAAGTTCTGACTGCAGAATGATCAGCAAGTGCAGCACAGAAATGGAATGAGGCCATGGGTATCTGAAATCCGCAGGTCATTCTGGGCTGTGAAGATTGGAGCAAGAAACAGACTTTTTTTTTTTTTTAAAAAACAGACACAGCAAGAGAGGGAACACAAGCAGGGGGAGTGGGAGAGGGAGAAGCAGACTTTCCGTGGAGCAGGGAGCCCGACGTGGGGCTCGATCCCAGGACCCTGGGATCATGACCTGAGCCGAAGGCAGACACTTTTTTTTTTTTTAAAGATTTTATTTATT